GCAGGTGGGGATGGGGCTGGGCTGGTCCCCACGGGGCAGGGACCCAATGCGATGGGCACCCAGTGGGGTATGGGCCCGTGGGATGGACGCCCAGTGGGGTAGAAACCTGTGGGATGGATGCCCACTGGGGAAGGAACCCATGGGATACGTGCCTGGCAGGGCTGGGATCCAGAAGCTGGACACCTAGCAAGGCAGGGAGGAAGGAAACAGGCACCCATAAGGGTAGGGACCAGGGGGTTGGACAACTAGTGAGACAGGGATCCAGGGGATGGCATCCAGGGGGACAAGGACTAGGGGGATGGGACACCCATCAGGGCAGGGTAATCACGGGGACAGTGCAGCCATGGAAAGGACAGGGCACCCATTGGGGTGGGACATCATTTGGGTGGAGGACACAACAGTCACAAAGCTCCCAACCCTCAACTTGGCACCCATGGGGGTGGGATGACCCTGGGGGACATGCTGCCCCAGGGACAGGGGCCACCCCAGAGACAGGGGCCACCCCAGGTGCCACCTCTCCCCACAGGTGCCAGGCAGGGACGGGGCTGTGCCCGGTGGACAAGGCTCACCGCAACCAGTGCCAGGCCTGCCGGCTGAAGAAGTGCCTGCAAGCTGGCATGAACAAGGATGGTGAGATGGGCAGGGGGACACACGCTGCTGAGGGTGACAGCTGAGTGGCCACCTCTGATGCCACCTTGTCCCCCACAGCCGTGCAGAACGAGCGCCAGCCCCGCAGCACGGCCCAGGTCCGGCTGGACAGCATCGAGCTGGACTCCGAGCTGCCCCTCGAGCACATGGCCACCACCAGGGAGGTCCCCCCGACCTCCTGCCCAGCTCCTCGAGGTCCCGGTGCCACCGTCACTGTCACCCCGGGGCCCCGAGCACCCACACCACCCACCAACCATCGCTTCATGGCCAGCCTGATGACAGCCGAGACCTGCGCCAAGCTGGAGCCTGAGGACGGTGGGTGGCCACCAGTGGGGAGGGGATGGGCAGAGGGTTGTCCTCACAGAAAGGTGACCACAAGTGTCCCCTTCTGACCCCACAGCTGATGAGACGGTGGATGTGACGGGCAGTGAGCCGGAGCGAGTGGCCAGCGAGTACCAGGTGGCACCATACCCAGCGGCCAGCCCCGAAAACGTCTACGAGACCTCGGCCCGTCTCCTCTTCATGGCTGTGAAATGGGCCAAAAACCTGCCTGTCTTCTCCAACCTGCCCTTCCGTGACCAGGTGGGGCTGGGGACCTCCATGGGGAATTGGGGACCCTAAAAAATGCTATGCAACCAATGGGATAGGGATGGCTGGAGCAGCCCCACAACATTTACCACAGGGTCTTGAATTCCCAAGAACCAGAAGATGCTCTTCAGCCCAACTCTCTCTGGTGGCTTCAGGTGCTGGAGGCTTTAGTGTGACTGGGTTTTTTTGGGGGCTTCCCCTTCTGACCCTAGGTGATCCTGCTGGAGGAGGCATGGAGTGAGCTGTTCCTGCTCTGTGCCATCCAGTGGTCCATGCCCTTGGAGAGCTGCCCGCTGCTGGCTGTGCCTGAGCCAGCCCCTGGGAAGCTGCTGCCCACCAGCCTGGACATCCGGGCGCTGCAGGAGACCCTGGGACGCTTCAAGGCTTTGGCTGTTGACCCCACCGAGTTTGCCTGCATGAAGGCCGTGGTGCTCTTCAAACCAGGTGAGGAACCCACCAGTACCTGCTGGCCAACCCCCCCCGCCCCCCCCCCTTCCTGTCACCTCCTTGTCCCCACAGAGACCCGTGGCCTGAAGGACCCTGAGCAGGTGGAGAACCTGCAGGACCAGTCGCAGGTGATGCTGGGCCAGCACAACCGTTCTCACTACCCCGGGCAGCCCGTCAGGTACTGCTGTCCCCATGTGCCCATGAGTGACACTGGGGGTGGGGACCCCCACCCATGGCCACTGCTCCATCCTGCAGGTTTGGGAAGCTGCTGCTGCTCCTCCCGGCACTGCGCTTCATCTCCTCCGAGCGCGTGGAGCTGCTCTTCTTCCGCCGGACCATCGGTAACACCCCCATGGAGAAGCTGCTGTGCGACATGTTCAAGAACTGACCCCCCCTTCCCACCTTGACAGCATCTTGTTTGTTACCTGGCACTGGCACCTTGTCACCCCCCCCACCCTGCATCTCCTCACCTTGGGATGCTGTGGGGTGTGAAGGTGCCTGTGGTCCCATCTCCAGGGTGGTTGCCAGGACTGTGGGATGCTGCTGGCAGCTGGGATGTGGGACCAGCCTCTCTGGAGACAGCTGGTGGCAGGGGGACGTCCCCACGTGGGTGCCAGATGCATCAGAAGCACCTCATTGGGGTGGGTGCCTCAAAAGGTGGTCCCAAAGCCAGACTGGAGAAACCTATGGACCCAGGCAAGGTGCCCTTGCCGTGGCATCTGCACCCATGGGGACCCACTGCCACCCAGGGAAGCAGCAGCCTGGGGGGACATGACACAGGGTGATGCCAGCCCAGGGTTTGACACAAGACCAAGTGTGACACTGGCTGGGGATGATGGCAGTCCAGGGGTGACACTGGCCAGGGTGACGCCAGCGTGGTGTGACCTCAGTCCAGGGATGACACTTTCCCAGGGGTGATGCCACACTAGGGGTGACACTGGCTGGAGGTGATGCCAGCCCAGGGGTGACCCCCTCCTGGGGTCTGTCCCCCTCCAGCCCCAGTCCCTGCCCTCCACTCTGGGGCATGTCCCCCCTGCTGTGCTGTCACCTCCCAGGGGACACGTGGTGCCAGACCCTGGTCCCATGTCCCAGGGGGCTCCTGTCCCCAACCCCCCCATTTTATACTCCAAATAAAGAGGCTTTTGCAGCTGGTTTCTGTGCTCCGTGACTCGGGGTCCCCTCCTTGGGGCAGGGGACAGAGGGGGACACACAGCAGTTAAATATTAATAATATGAGAGAAATGAGATAAAGAGATGATATGAGATAAATGATGATAAAATGAGATAAAAATATGGGAAAAATGAGATAAAAAGAAATAATAATCAAATAAAGAGAAAATTATCTGAATATAAGTGCACTAAATAGAAATCATCTGAGTTAAATAATCAGAATGTAAATAAGCTTAATGGAAAGAATGTGAATATAACTAAAATTAACAAGAATAATCTGAATACAAACAATCTGAGTAGAAGTAATTTGAAAATAAATAATCTGAATTAATAGGAATATAAAGAAGATTAATAGAAATAACCAGAACTAATCTGAATACAAATAGATTGAAAAAAACCCACACCCATCTGAACACAAAAAAAAGCTAAATATAAGTAATCTGCCTGGAATCTTAATAAAATTAAAATGATAATTAAAATACTCTGAAAAGAAATAAATCTAAAATATCTGAATACAAAAAAATCTTGAGTAGAAGCACTTGAAAATAAATAATCTGAATTAACTTAATTAAATCATCTGAAGATAAATAAGATTAAGAGATGAATCTGAATTAATCTGAATAGAAATAAATGGAAATTTAGCTGAATATAAATAAGACAAATATAGATAAATAAATATAATCTGATTAGAAAGAATCTAAATAAGAATATAAATTTACATTCTAAATCAGAATGTAAATAAAAGAAAGAATCTGGAGGAAAATAAATGCAAAGAATCTGAATAGAACTATAAGGAATGAAATAATCTGAGCAGAAATTATCTGACCAGCCAAAAACCTGAACGGAAGATTCTGAATGAAACAATCTGAGGAGAAGTGACCTGAAAAGCCCTGATCTGAATTAGAAAATCCGAACTCAACGCTGTGAAGAGCAGAGGGGGGAGGCAGAGCAGGGGGACCCCCCCCCCAAAACGCCTTCACTGCAACCAGGGGCGGCGGCTGGAGCCCCCAG